TGACCCGACCACGCGCTCATCGCAGACCTCGTTCGACACGAGCACCGTCGAGAAGGCGTTCCGCCGTTCCCTGCCATCAGTGACTGGCCAGACTCCCCTTCAATTGCAAGGACCTTCTTGTCTCGCAGTAGACTGGCGCCACGTGGACAACAACGTGACCGTGTTCGTCGCTAAGGTCTGGCGGGCACAACGTGCCAGCTATTCAACAGGTGTGATCTGCGCGCGCCCGGCTTTGGCACCTCAGCGCCGCCTGCGCTGCGAGGCGCCAGCGCGACAACACGCCACCGCAGCGGCCAGTGCTGCATCAACGGGCACGGTTTCTGACAGTTAAGCCTGTGTGCATCGCGGCGGCTTGGCTCGTTGGCCACGCTGTGCTGCCGACGGTGGGACACTTGCGAACAGCCAATGTAGGCACCCGCGACGCGGCATTGATTTTAGCCGCATCCACGCAGCACGCGCCGCGTCGGTGCCATTCGGCATTGACCAGACCCACACGTAGACCAGTCAACAGAAGCGACGAGTAAACGCTAGCAGCGAGAGATACTACCGCAAACAATTCGACGAGCTGCGTCTGCGAACCTACGAAGGAAGCAGGGCGCGCGGGTACTCTCAAGACACGCTGCCGTGCAAACGCCTCAACGGTCAGCTACGCACGCCGGCACCCACTCATTAAAGAGTGCGGAAGGCGAGCGGCCAAGGGCAGAGCCAGGGAACGGACCTGGCTGGAAGGCGCGATCAGGGCTACGGCTTGAGCGCACGCTGGGCACGACCTGTGCCGGGCCCCATTGAGCAGTGCCTTGATACCTGCTGCTAAGCAAAATCGACTGGTCGACGTCACCTCGGGTAATGAGCCTTTCCTCAGGCTCACCCTGCTGTAGGTTGCCGCTCTGATTCACGACCCTGGGCATGGTCAGCTCATCCCACGATCGCGTTGGCCACCACCGGTGAGCCGACAGGGCTCCCCAGGGTCCACGTTATCCTGTTTGGGCTGAGGCTCCTGAGCCACGAGTGAGTTGTGCCGAACGTCCACTGCTGTGGCCACGCGGTGAATGCTCTGACGCCTCATTCCGCTGCGGAGGGGCATTTCCCACCGTCGGGTAATTAGCCCCGGGGCGAATAGGAACCCGCGATCGCGCTGCTGCCGTTTTAGCTTACAGCGTGCACGCGGTATTCTACAAAATTGAAGGCAAAACGACATACGCTCTGCTATGTCTCGCGTTGCCATTGCCGCCATGTTTTTTCTTTTCATTCACCCAGGGCGGCCGCAATTCTAGTTCCTCCTCCGCCTTCTCCGCCTCCTCGTTCTCCTCGTTCTCCTCCTCCTCCTCCTCCTCCTCCTCCTCCTCTTCCTCCTACTCCTTCTCCTCTCGTGCACCTTCCGCGCTTCCTCCGTGCACGGCCGCTATGCGGCGGTCCGGTTTCTCTGTTGAGTGCCGCTGAGCTGGACGGCCTCGTTCTTGGCGGACTGGAGCCTTGCTGCGCGCGCGAGGCAAACTGCTGTTCGCGCCTGTTTCGCTCCCGTTTGGAGCCAGCTGGGGGGCTGAGGTGGCCCAGTAGTGGTTCTGGCGAGCGGAAAGGAAGGATGAGGGGCCCCTTCGTCGCCACGTTTGGGCGCGTCTCCATGAGCTGGTCACTTCGAAGCCCGGGAGGGGTCTCGGGACCCTTTTGGGGCGAATTTGCGTACATCCCTCCTCTTGACAGATTTTCTCTGGGCTCGCCCAGCCCCGACCCCCCAGCCGCCTCCAAGCTCCCGTCGCGGCGCGCTCTTCTTTTAATTATTGCGCAAGCCACTGGGCGACGGGCCACACCGATGCTACCAGCCTGAAACAGATTCGTATTCCTACGACTGGTATATTATGATCTGTGTGCCGCTCTCAAGGAGGTTTCTGTGGCGCACCCCTAACATCGTCATCGCATTGGGCTTGTCGTTTTTGATTCGACCAAAGAAAAACGGGACACTCTGTAATGTGGACGTCAGGCAATCGGCAGTATGATACTTAAGAACGCATTTGAACAAGACTTCAATACGGAAAGGAAGCGAACAGGTGGCCCACGGGAGGATTCCAGACTTGACAGCATAACAGATGCGATGCCCAGAACGGAAAGAAAACGTCGATCTCGAACACGAGAATGCATTCCCCCAGCGTTTTCAACACGATCTAAGTCCCCGCGCCCCTAATTCAACATTGACGGGCTGCGCCGCGATGTGCCGAGCCTCCGGCCCTAATCCTGCGCCCCGCCCCGCTGGCGATGCCAACCAACACTGAATCGGGGGCAGAGTGGGTGCGTTGAAGTTTGCGCCGGCACCCTGGTCGCGTGGGCGGTGCAGGATTTTGCCCATCCACCCGAGGCGCCCTTCTTCGCGGGGTGCTGGCCTTCCAGCGCGCTGCCTTTGGATGCGCGCACCGGCGGGCAAGCGGGGCCTGCCTCTGCAAACCTCTCCGAGGGCGGTCGCCTCCCTTTACCAGCTCGAAGCACATCCCTATTCCTATGTTTGGCATCGCCTTACATCGGTGTCGATCTTAAGAATTCCTTCAGTTTTGGAGGGCACATCCGTAAGGTTGTCGTCGCCTTGGACTTGCCGTTCTTAGGGATAGGGATGCGTTCGAGGCTGGTTATTCCTTCCCTTGCAGTTGCCGCTTCTGGTGGACCTCGGCAGTGGTCAATCTGCCCTCCATCTCCCAAGGTCGCCTCGCCGTCGCTCGCCTGTCTCATGCCGCGCACTGTTAACCCAGCGGTCCACTCAGCACGCCCAGCGCTGGAATTTATGCGCCTTCCGAGGTGATCGCGAGAATGGTCAAATTTTGGTACGCGTATATATATATATATTTCTCATATGCCGGAAACTTTGCCCCCGAGGGCCCTGGGCCGCAGACCAGGGGCATCCAGACCACCTAAGTGGCGCCTCCCCTCCTGGGGCCTCCATGGAACGAATCCTCCGAGGAGGTCCCCGGGGAGCTTCACAGAAGTTCCAGAAGGACCCTGGGACGGTCCTTAGAGGCCCCCGAATTCCAGGAGGGCCCCAAGACGGGCCAAGAGGTCCCCAAGACGACCCCAAGACGGCCCCAAGAGATCCGAAAGTGGCCCAGGAGGCAAACGAGACAACCCCGAACGGCCACAAGAGAACTCTAAGGCGTCCCCGGCGTCCCCTATATGTTGCGTCCAGGCGGACGTCCAGATGGCAGAACAGCCCCCCCAGTGAGGCGTGCGGCCACCAAGACAGCCCATGTCGCATGTCACTGCATCAAGACTCGAAGCACGCAGCGCGTCCGAACGCCCAGGCGAACGGTGATCAACTAGAGCTTGAGCGCACGCGATGGTTCTGGGAGGAGGACGGCAAGACCAGGAAGCTAATACGGCCCAACAGGTAGACCTCTCCAAAAATGCCCAAGATGGAGCCGTAAGAGTCCCAAGGCGTCCCACGAAAGCCCCACGACGTCCCAACAGGCCTCACAGGCAGCCCAAACTGTTCCCAAGAAGGCGCCAAGAGGGTGCCAGGGTGAGGAATTCCAAGGGCCGTCGTACGAGCACACCCCGAGATGACCCCCAACCCTCAGCATGCTCCCACGAGGGCCCCATGTGGCCCTACGAGGCCCCGAGATGCCCCCGCGAGACATCCACGAGACCACAAAAGGTTCTCCAGATGCATACCCCAGGCTTCCAAGAGGCTCCCGAGAGATTCCGCAACAGGCCCCTGTCTGCGAACTTCTTCGATCCCTCAGCTGTACCTTTAGCGTCGGCGGCCAGGCTGAGAGTGAAGGCGCTGGCGATGAAGGCGCAGACGGGGGTTCCGTTGGACCGAGTTGTGCCACCATGCAGGAGGAGGAGGGAGGAGGGACGCGGCCGAAGGAAAACAGGGAGAGTGGCGGGCGGCTCAGGGCTCAGAACGGTGTGGCGCGGCCGGCCCCCGCCGCACGGCACGCACCGCCTGCTGCGACCACGGGCCGGGGGCGGCGGGGCCCAGTGCGGGAAGACGATAGGCAGGACGAACGCGTGGCCGTTTGTCGACTCCGAGGCTGCCCAGCCCCAGCACGGGTGCGTGGGGAGCCACAGGGGCTGCGGCGCCCGCGGCGGGCGGCAAGGCCAGGCCCTGGGCCGGTGCGGGTGCCGCCGGCCTGCGGCCCAGGGCGGCGCCCGCGGGGCCGGCGGCGCCACATGGCGGCGCGGAGGCAGGGAGGGCGAGCGAGGGGGGGGGGGAAAGCGAGGGGGGGAGGGAGGGAGGGAGGGAGAGCGAGCGAGGGGGGGGGGGAGAGCGAGCGAGGGGGGGGTGGAGGGCGAGCAGGGAGGAGGGCGCCCCACCTGTGGGCCCGCAGGCGGGGCGGCGGGCGCCGGGGGGCGGCGCGCGCAGCAGGGCGCACACGAGGGAGCGGCGGGCGGAGGAGCACCGAGCAGGTGCGGGGAGAGATGCGATGTGCGCCTCGCGGCGGGGTGGGGGAGGCCCGCAGCGGGAGAGGGAAGGCGCCACCGCCGAATGCGACGGCGCGGCATTGACGAGGTAGACACACACACACACACACATACACGCGCCATCCTGTGTCTTGCCTGTTCTCGACTCGTGAGGATGGTCGAGGCAGGGAACGACAGCGGGGCAACCTTAGAAGACCCTTTTATGTAGACCGTGTTTCAAGTGTTACGCTCATCCTATCCTGTGTACCGAGCCTCAGTGCGACTTCAGCCACCATCGCGTAGGCTTCCAAGCTAAGGACCCGATCATCCGGACACGGCCCCTTTGGCGCGCTATACGCTAGGCCCCATAGTGAGTTGAATTAGGGCGCGCGCGAAGCACGCGCGATGGTTTTAGTCAGTAGAGTTCGATGTAGAATGAACATTTCATACTAAATTTGTGTACATATTGACACGTGTTTGTAGATATGCTTCCATACACCCAGGTCATCTTTAGTGTGCAGCTGTTGACAGATGAGTGGATCGAACTTTGGTGAACGTGGCTCTAGGGAACAACTTACCTCATCCTCTTCCCTTTACTTATCATCGTCGTCCCCCCCTGGTGAACGTAGATCGTGGGAGTGGCTATGTCCAAGGGTCGTAGCTTTCACTTGCACTGCATCTGCAGGAACATAGCTAGGGCTCTCTGGGGCACCTGTTCTGCGAGGAGGAGATACTGTCCGTTTGCCGTTGCTTTGATCCTCATCCGTCCTTGGTCTTCCTGTTCCCCCGCCTGGCACGCGCACGTGTGCGCCAATGGCGCATGCGGGTACGCAGAGGGATACGCTGATATAGAATTGTTGCCTGCGCACGCGTAGTCAGAGAATGCGCATATTCAGCACTTGTGCTCACGCTACCGAATAGTTGTGCACACGCGTACCCATACTGACGTCCGCGTTGGCTACTGTGCATCTAACTACGTTCGCAGCCAAAGTTCGATGATCATTTGGATATTTCAGCCGTCGCGATCTGGTCTGCTCGCGTCTGTGGTTCAAGCGCGCATTGCCGTGCCCGCCCTCAGTGGGTCGCGTCACGAACCCGCAGAGGTTTTGCACCGGACGCAGGCGGCGCAATTGTTGCTCGTTGTTTTTTTCTTTCGCATGGTCTTCGTGCAGCGAAGACTAATAACAAGAGCTAGCCATGTGTTTTTTCGACGTCCTCTCCAATGTCCGCGCAGTCGCAGCGACAAGTATTGGCGTAATGTGAAGTGCAAGGTTTTCTGCGTGTCCGACCCTTGAGCGTGGGAAGCTCTCGGCGCTTCGCGCATCTCCGCCAGCCCACCCACAAACGTTCCAGGGGCGAGCTGCCTTGATTTGGGAAGCGCCTGGACATACAATGGCAGAGAGGGATGGCAGCCGTCAAACCGAAGCTCGGGACCAGCCTGAGCAGACCCAGGAGCAAACCATGAAGGCCTTCGCCGCTCTGTTGCTTCGGGAGCCTCTTGGAGGCTCCTTTGTGACCATCCTCGGGCGGCCTCGGCGCTTCTTGGGGGGCCACTAGAGGCCCTCGCGAGGCCCTTCCGGGACCATCTTGGTCCGTTTCTGATGCCTGCGGACTGCCTTGGCAGTTTCAGCTCGCTGAGGGGCAGCGAACGCGATCTGTGTTTCTGGGGCGACGGAGGAGGAGGAGGAGGAGGAGGAGGAGGAGGAGGAGGAGGAGGAGGAGGAGGCAATGCTCGTAGGAACAAACCTAAGGTCCGAATTTGTCGCGAATGGGTGTCGTAAGGATTGTTATTGAGGGATCAAGCGCGCTCGCTGAGCGTATTGTGATCTGGCCCTGGAAACAACGCTGCCCCCCAAGCGACCTCCAACTTGGGAGCTCTCTTGGCGCTCCCTTGGCGCCTCGGGGCCCTCCCGGCCTCTGGCCGACCAGGGGGTCGGAGCGCCCTTCGCGGGCGCTCCTGGGCACCTCTGGGGTCGTACTTGGGCCTGTCTGGGCCGGTCTTTCGGCGGCGCGTCCGGGAGGAGGAGGAGGAGGAGGAGGAGGAGGGGGAGGAGGAGGACGAGGGGGAGGAGGAGGAGGAAAAGGAGGAGGAGGAGGAGGAGGAGGAGGAGGAGGAGGAGGAGGAGGAGGAGGAGGAGGAGGAGGAGGGGGGGGGAGGGGGAGCTTTGATGGGTGGGGATGCTATAAAACACTAAATATAGCTATTGTGCACTATAGGATCCGATCAGCATGCACTAAAAATAAGAAAAATAGTTAAACATTGTAAAAAATAGTGAAAACAATAGTGTTAAATAGTGAAAATAGTAAAAATAATGAAAAAATAGTGAAAAATAGTGAAACAAATAGTGAAAATGAAAAAATAGCCAAGTCTTAAAAAATCACAAACCAGCTTGCTTCTCCTCCTTTCTCTCCTGACTTTCCGCAGCGGCAGACCGCTTTTACATTGCAAGTTGTACAGTGCAGCGGTTTGGCCGCTTCAGAACTTTCGTTTTTAATCACGTCCATGTTGGCTGCGGGGCCGAGGGCGCCGCACGTGGCGCAGCGAGGATCCCAGGCAGCCATTTCACGAATTCTCGAATTCGGTTGGGCGAATTCAAAAAACTTGAAGCCAAAAACGGCTGCGACGAAATCGTTATTCTGTCCTCCTCCTCCTCCTCCTCCTCCTCCTCCTCCTCCTCCTCCTCCTCCTTCTCTTCCTCCTCCCATGCAAAGCGGTTGGGCCGCTGAGGAGCAGAATGGGGAGGCAGGAGGGAAGCGAACGCAGAGCGGTTGGCCCGCTGAGGAGGGGGGAGGAAACGGATGAGGGAGGTGGCGGAGGGCGGGGGGGGGGGGGGGGTAACAATAGTTAGAGGAGGAAGAGAAACAAGACAAAGAGGCAAACAAGGGGGGGGGACGAAATGAAAGCGGAAAAAAGAGAATACAACACCAGACAACGAAAAACAACACACAACGAAACAAATAGCACAAACAACATAAAACAACACAAAACCAACACCGAACAACATGTTGTTTTTGTTGTTGTTTTTGTTGTTTTTGTGTTGTTTTTGTGTTGTCTGGTGTTGTCTGGCGCCCGCCCTACAAGACAACGCAAACCAACACAAAACAACATGAAACAACATAAAACAACAACAACAACCACAAACAACAACATGAAAACAACGCCCATACAACATCCAGCTAACATCCAGCCTGCTGCCAATGGGAAGGGGGGGAGGGGGATGGGAGAGGAGGAGGGGGGGGGGAGGAGGGGGGGGGGGGGGGAGGAGGAGGCGGCGAGAGGATAGAGGAGGAGGGGGGAGGAGGGGGGGGGGGAGGAAGAGAAGAGGGGGGAGGGAGGACGGGGGAGGGGGGGGGGGGAGGGGAAAGATGATAGTAGGAGGAGAGGTTGAGGAGGGGAAGGAGGAGGAGGGGGAGGAGGAGGGGAAAGAGGATAGATGAGGAGGGGTAGGAGGAGGAGAAAGGGAGGAATAGGAGGAGGAGGAAGAGGAATGAGAGGAGCTTCGGAGCTTCGGATTTGGGGGTGCCGAGGCCCAGGGGGTGCCAGCACCAAGGGGGCGCCGAGGCCCCAAGAGGGGCGCCGAGGAGGAAGGGGAGGAGGGGGCAGAGGAGGAGGAGGAGGAGGAGGAGGAGGAGGAGGAGGAGGAGGGGGAGGAGGAGGAGGGGGACGAGGAAGAGGAGGAGGAGGAGGAGGAGGAGGAGGTGAACACCTCCTCCTCCCTCCTCCTTCTCCTTCTTCTCCCTTGGAGCGCAACGTTCTGGCGTCGGTCAGACTTGTTCCAATGTCTGAATTATGAAAAATAAAGAACAAGTTTTAAAATAATGAAAAACAGTGAAAAATAGTGAAAAATAGTTGAAAAAATAGTGATAGATCGTGAAAATAGTGGAACATAGTAAAAATAGTGAAAAATAGTGAAAATAACAAAAAATAGTGAAACAACACATATGTTTAGGGATTCCAAGTTCAGCTGATGATATGACGCTGTAAGCTCCTATAGATCCTATAGTGAAACACAGGGGGGACAATCGGGGACTACACTATCGGCATTCTTATGGAACCTATTGGGCCTCCTAACCAATCCTAACTCATCCAAACCTCTCCTAAAATAGAACCACTTACCTATACTATAACTACTTATAACTTCACACCCATCAAAGAGGGGGAGGGGGATGGGGGGGGGAGGGGAAGGGGGAGGGGGAGGGGGAGGGAGGGGAGGAGGAGGAGGGGGAGGAGGAGTGAGGAGGAGGAGGAGGAGGAGGAGGAGGAGGAGGAGGAGGAGGAGGAGGAGGGGGAGGGGGGGGGGAGGAGGGGGAGAAACAAAAAACGCCTCCCCCTCCCCGTTCTTTTATGGGAGGGAAGGCGGGGGGGGGGGGGGGGGGGGGGGCGCCCTCTCCGCAGGCGGCGGGGCTTCTCGGGGGCCCTCGCGCCTCCCCGAGGAGCCTGCCCGCCTGGCCCTTCCTCGGGCCCGCGGGCGGCCTCGCGGGCGGCGCGGGGGGCTTTTCCGGAGGGGCACCGCCCGCATCGGAGAGGGCCAGCTCCCTCCCCGCCTCTCCCCCGCAGACCCCGAGGGCGCCGCCTGCCCCCCTCTCCGCTTCCTGCCTTCTGCCCATCGGATCCCCCGGGGGTGGTCGAGCGGATGCGTGTTTTCCACTCCGACCGTCCTCGGCGTTTCCAGAGTGGCGCTCCCGCGGCAGCGCTGGCCACATCTCACGGCCCTCGGTCCTTCCAGGTCATACTCCCGCTGCCACGCTGACCTCGTGCCCTTGTTGCGGATGTTCCGAGTCGTGTTCCCGCGGGAGCGTTGGCTCTCGCTCTTTCCGAACCGTCCCTTTACGTTTTTCGTCTTGCGTCATGTCTGGTTCCCCTCAGAACCTGTTGTATAAACGAGTCGAGTTCTCGACTAGCGCTGGCTCGTTTCGCGCTTCCGTGTTTCCACGCCGTCATTTCACACATCCCGTTCAGCGTCATGTCTGGTTTCCCTCAGAACCTGTTGTCGAACAGGAGTCGTGTTCTCGACCCGACGACGCTCTGCCGTGCTCTTCTACGCCATGGTACGCCGTGCACTACCATGCATCTCGCATCCTCTCGGGATCATTGCCCTGCTCGACATCCGACTGTGCGAATAGAGAAGAGATCTACGCCACGGTAAGGTATGGGAGGGATGGGCAGAACGTCAGATCAGACGCTTGCGCACCTAACTTGCCCTTTCCCCTCGGGCTCACCGCCGAGGCTCACGGCCTTTCTGGGCGATCTTGGAGCCATCTTGAAGTCTCAGAGGCCCGCTGGGCGCGACGCGCAAGCAGCACATGAGATATTTGGAGGGTTTTGCTTTCTCGGGGGCGTCCTCGGCAGGCCCTGCGCTCTCCTCGAGCCGCCTTGGGGCGATGCGGGGGCGCACTGGAAGCATGCCCGATGCCATCTGGGGCCAACTTCGACCATCGCGTGCCATCTTGCAGTTCATCTTGGGCTACCTTACGCCCAATGTTGTAAGTTCAGTTTGCTTCTTTCGCGCTGCACTTTTGACAGACGCCCTTGCCGAATTAAGACATGCGGTTTTCCATCTTCTGTTTGCAGGAGCAAGTTCGATCCATCCCTGCCAAGCTAAGCAGAGCTCGTTTGTTTTGTTTCTGCTCTCGGGCGTAAAACGCGCAGCGCCTCCGCCACATAACACACTGCCAATGTAAATAACATTTTGTTTCCAGTGGACTTTGCGCGGCGCTTATGCCGAATACCAGTTCGCGGTATCGAACAATTTGGCAGCACTGGGGACGAGCATCAAGAAACCATCTGCTTGTCGCCAGGGTACCGTGGGTTTCTTCGCTGCGCGCGCTTGACGGTGACGTTCCGCAGGCGTTGAGGAATTGCTGCGTTGAGGGTGCCTTGGGCTTCCCCTCAGCTGCAACTCGCGCGCGGATGTTCGGGTCGGGTTCTTGCCAGCGTTTCCTGCGGCCGCGGCCGCACTGTAAGCCCTCCAGTGCCCTGGCTCTCTGTGGCCCAGCGTGGGATGCGATGGGCTCAGTCTCGACCGAGCGGGTCTCCCAGGCGGTCCAGGATGGTTGCCAGGATGGCCGCGGTGGCCCGAGGGCCCCACGATGGTCCCGAGTTCCCTCAAGATGGCACAGAGAGGAGCCACTCGGTCAACAACGCCCGACGGAAGCCAACCGCATCTTGCACCGAGATGGTTTCACATGCCCCGAGGCGAGCTCTGGGAGTGTTGATGGCTCCGGTTTGGCTCAATTTTAGTCGAGGCTGCGTCGGGCCCATGCGTCGACAAGCAGTCCATCTGTCGAGCCCACGCATCGTCAACAATCCAATCCATGGAGAGTCGCGTTTGCGCAAGCGACGCCGCGTGCACGCGTTCATGGTTTCGCGAGTTCCAGCCTCCCCTCGTGGATATGGGAGGGGGGAAGCATTACGACGTGGACTCCCTGCAGCAAGGCATGCGAACTCCTCCAGCCGGCCCAGCGAGTACACCAGTGTGCACCTCTCTCTCCAAGACGGCCGAAGACGCCCTTCCACACTGGCCGACGACGACCAGACAAGACGGGACCACACACACGACGTTACTCCAGATTTCGTAATAAAGGGAGGGGGGTCTCATTTCGGGGGGGGGGTCTCTTCCAGGCTATCTTGGAGGGCCCGGGGGGGTCTGGGGACGATGTTTTGGAGGGTTTTCCCACGGGGGAGGTCTGAAGTGGCTTGTCTTGGAGGGTCCAGACCCCCTCCCTTTTATTGCGAGATCTGGAGTACTCTGGTCTCGACTCGTGTGGTCTCGTCCGCTCTGGCAGCGCAGGCAAGACAAGACACGCCAAGGACAGCCTCCAGGTCGGCCCAGGATGGCCCTCAGGCGCCCAGAGAGAGCCCCCGAGAGGTTTCAATCCGTCAAAGGCATCGGCAGGTACTCCAGATTTCGTAATAAAGGGAGGGGGGTCTCATTTCGGAGGGGGGTCTCTTCCAGGCTATCTTGGAGGGCCCGGGGGGTCTGGGGACGATGTTTTGGAGGGTTTTCCCACGGGGGAGGTCTGAAGTGGCTTGTCTTGGAGGTCCAGACCCCCTCCCTTTTATTACGATATCTGGGGTACATATTTTCTCGTCTCCCCAGGAAAGCAGCAGAGGCCTCGAGATGGCTTCAAGATGATTCCAAAAAGCTTCAAGGTGGACTGAGTGGCGACCCGAGACGGCTCCAGAGGCCCCCAAGAGGGCCCCAAGAGAGGCCCGAGAAAGGCCAGAGAATGCCCAAGCCCGTCCGAACTTCGAAATGGCCAACAGCGTAATGCGTCCTCTGTAGCTGCCAGGAGGCCACCAGAGGCCCCAAGAGGCCTCCAAGAGGGGCCCCCAAGAGATCTCCACGGGGCCTTCCAGCGGTTCCCAACGGTTCCCAATGGGCCCCTGGGCGGGCCCAAGAGGTCCCCAGGAGGGTTCCCGGTGCTGTGGGGAAATCTGGCGTTGGATAAGGGGAGGGGTTGTGCAGGGGTAGGCCCCGCCCCGAAAGGGGGAGAAGGATGTGGGAACATATGGCCCGCTGAACCGCTTGTGCCCAGATAGTTGGTGAGATTCGTCAAGCGTTCTCTAAATATGAGCAATTCTGAGGACGCCGGGTTTGCGCGTAATCGTTGTCGCGTCTTTGATGCGTGTTGTGTTTTTGAGGATTCTTTCAAGGCTAGGTGACGTACGAGCGCGCACTTCGGTGAATCAGCTTCACAGAGTGCGCAAAGGCAGCTTCACAAGAGAAGGAAGGTTTTCAGTATGTGAGGGCGTGTCGGACTTGCGTACCTCGATACTGTGCCCAATACCAACGCGGGCGGCGCAGTGTAGTTCAGCGTCGGCCGCGCGGCGTCCTCTTCTAACAAGCCAGCGCGCAACGCGCAGCACACGGCACCGCGAATCTGGGAGGTGGAGAAATCGGTGGGGGCGCGTTTCAAGCAGGCCGAGGTGCAAGCAGGCCGAGGTGCATCCGAGGTGCGCGAACCGGCCGCAATGAGGGGCAGCATTGGACAGCAGCGTGGCAACGACGTGCTCCGTAGAATTCGAGCGCGGTGCATGGACGCCGAGGAAGGCTAGTCGCGTGCGTAACGTCAAAGCTGTTACGAGCCAATCGGGGGCGCCCGAGCAATGAGGGGCGCGCCAACGCAGGAAAGCCCAAGCAGGAAAGCAGCATCACAAACCGTGCCAAGTGCGCCGACTGAAAACTCACGGCGGAGGGACGGGGGGGCACATCGCCAATGCTTCGATCTGGGATTGGTCTCAGCCCTCCTGTGGAGTTGGGCTTTTGTTGTCTTTGCCGCTTTGTCGTTCTCGCCCAGGCCCGGCAGGTAGCTGTCGGGCGGCGAAATCTTCAGACATCCGCCGCCTCTCAGGCCCACTTCGGGGCCCGTGGGGCGGTGTGTATGCCTCCCTGGCCAAGCCAGGGCGGCGCGCACGGCTTCTGGGCCGAGGGCGAGCTTGTACAGATCTCCTCGCCCTCTGCTCATCTTGGCGCACCCATCACGCAGCTCTTGACCTGTGCCGCCGTTGCAACCGAGCAAGGCCGCGAGTTCCAGAGATCGCCAGGTCTTCCAGCACGCCTTGGGGCCGGAGCTTGGCCCGAGCAGGGCTGCGCCCAGAGCTAAACAGCTTATGCGCAGAGAAACAGCACACGGCGGCACTGGTGCCGCTGGGAGAGGGGGTGCGACGGGTCACGGCGAGAGCAAAAATATAGCTCTAGCCTTGATGCAAAGGTCATGGCCTGCTGGCGAGCTGGCAAAGTGTTTTTCCCCAAACGGTGCTTGCACTTGGGTTCTTACTGGGCCTGGGTGGCGTTCTGGCGGCTCCGTGCTCGCCGTCGCCGCCCCTTCGCCGCCTTGTCGCCGCCCGTCGTCTGGGCCTGGGTGGCGGTCTGGCGGCTCCGCTCTCGCTGTCGCCGCCCCGTCACCGCGCAACAAGGATTGCGCGCCACATTCACCACACGTATTGCACAACATAAGTGCACCACATGTTTTGCATAACGTACTTTGCAAACAGATATTGCACAACAGAGTTTGCATTCCATAGTTTGCACCACAGAATTTGCACAACATAACTTGCGCCACATATATTGCACCACGTAGACAGAACAACATACATTGCACCACATAGCTTGCACACCATAGACTGCACCACATATATATTGCAAAATATGTAACGCTTATGATGATGCTGATGATGATGTTGATGATAAGGATGAAGAAGAAGAAACTCATTTGTGTCGTCTTGGGGTTGTCCTGGCCTCTTGTGAGGCAGTTTTGGAGTTCCCCTGGGGCACTCTTGGGCCCGACTTTGGGCCCTGTTACGCCGGCTTGAGGTTTTTTGGGGGTCGTCCTGGGGTCCTGGCCGTCTGGTGGGTGTCTGGGGGCAGTGGTTGGTCCGCCTTGGCGCCGTCTTGGGCGGTGAAGGGGTCTTTAAGGCTGTCTTGGGTCCCACCAGAAGCCCTCTTGGGCCGTCTTGGGCCGTCTTGGGTACCTCTTGGGCCATCGTGGAGTCCTCTTGGGCCGTCTTGAGCTGACAGCAGCCCGAAAAGGCGAGAATGCGAACATGATTCAAAAACCTAGGACATCACTTGTTTTGACTTCTTCGGACCCTGTTTCAGGTCCTCGTGTGGCCATTTTGGGCCCTTTTGGAGGCATCTTCTTGTGTCGTCTTGAAGCAACATTCGGCCGCCTTGGGGCCACCCTGGGCCGTCTTCGAGGCATCTTGGGCATCTGGGTGTCCTTTGTCCTTGGTTGCCTGCACGGGCCGTCATGGAATCTCGGGATGCATATCCATTGTTCCCAACCACTATGTGGTGTTGGGCCCTCGTTTTGAAAAGACAGCGCCCCGCGTCACCTCACTCCCTGTCCCGCTGCTCCCTCCCTCCTCCTCCGCCCATCACTGCCCCTGCCCTCTACACTCCTCGCACGCTTCGCGGCCCCATAGGAAGCTCCACCGAAGGCCCTAGTGGTTTCTTGCATGACACCACCGCGCCCATGTCGGCACACCCCTCACGCATTTCGTGGCCCCAGTGGGAGCTCCACGGAGGGCCCGAGTGGTTGCGCTCACATGGCACCAGTGCGCCCATGTGGGCACACCCCTCACATGTTTCGTGGCCCCATGGGGGGCGCAACCGAAGGCACTTGAGGCTGCGCTCGCACGGCGCCACCGCGCCCATTTCGGGTCACCCATCACACGTTTCAGGCCCCCCGGGGAGCTCCACCGAGGGCACCTGTTCCGGCACCCCCTCGCACGTTTCGTGGCCCCATAGGGAGCTCCACCCCACCGAGGGCCCCAGAGGCTGCGCTCGCATGGCGCCGCCGCGCCCACCCCGGCATATTTTTTTTGTTGTTTTTCTTTTCGCGCGGGCTTACGCCAAGCCGAGGCCGCCGCGTCGTCCCGCCCCCGCCGCGCGGGCCGCGCCCGCTCCGCCGCAGCCCGCCGCCCGCCGCCGCCGCCGCCGCCGCCACCGCCGCCGCCGCCGCCGCCGCCGGCCGGGGCCTCGGGCCAGCCGCCTCCCTCCGTCGCCGCCTCTGCCCTGCCGCCAGAGCACCGCCGCCGTGCCTCGGGGGAGCGCGCGGGGGGCCTGGCGTCCGCAGCCCGTCCGCGCGCCGCCGCCGCCGCCCCCGTCCGCCCGGCTGCCAGCGGGTGCCCGAGCGCGGCTCTCGCTCTGGCGCTCCCCGGCGCCGCCAGCCGCCGCGCCGCCCGCTGCGCGCCTCGGCCGGCCCTTGGCGGGCCCCTGCCAGCCGCTGCCCGCCGCCTGCGCCGCCGCCCCCTCGCCGCGGGGCCCGCCAGCCGCGGCGCCGCCGGCGCCGCCTCCTCGCGTTCCCGCCTGGCGCTGCGCTTGCCTCGTTTCCCTCCTCCTCCTCCTCCTCCTCCTCCTCCTCCTCCTCCTCCTCCTCCTCCTCCTCCTCCTCTTTCTTTTCCTCCCTTCCTCCGTGGTGGAGGTGGTGGTGGTCGCGGTGGCGGGGCTGCTGGCGGTGCTGCTTCTGGTCGTTGTCTCGGTGGCGGCACTGCTGGTCGCCGTCGTGGTGGCAGTGTTGCTGGTCGCCGTCGCGGTGCTGGCGGCGCTGCTAGTCGTGGTGGTGGTCCTGCAGATCGCCGTCGCAGTGGTGGCCGTGCTGTTGGTGGCGCTGCATGTCGCCATCGTCGTGGTGGTGCTGGTCGTCGTCGTGGTTGTGGTGGCGGTGCTGGTGGCGGTGCTGATTGTCGCCGTGGTGGTGCCGGTCGCTGTCGTGCTTGTGGTGGGGCTGCTGGTCGCCGTCGTGATGGTGGTCCTGTTGGTCGCCGTCGCAGTGGTTGCGGCGGTGGGGGTGCTGGCGGTAGTGATGCTGGTCGCCGCGGTGGTGGTGGTGGTTCTGGTCGCCTTCGAGGTGCCGCTAGTCGCCGTCGCGGCGGCGGTGCTGGTCGCCGGCGCGGGGCTCGTAGTCGTCGCCGTGGTAGCGGTGCTGCTGGTGGCGGGGCTGCTGGTCGCCGGGGTGCTGGGGCCGCTGGTCGTTGTGGTGGTGGTGGCGCTGCTGGTCGTTGTCGTGGTGGCGGTGCTGGTGGTGGTGGTGCTGGTGATGGTGGTGGTAGCGGTGCTGGTCGTCGTCGTGGTCGTCGTCGTCGGGGCGGTAGAGCTGCTGGTCGCTGTAGTGCTGGTCGTCGTCGTCGTCGTCGTCGTCGTCGTCGTCGTCGTCTTCGTCGTGTTGTTGCTGGCTGCCGTCTTGGTGATAGTAGTGCTGCTGGCCGACATCGCGATTGTGGTGCTGCTGGTCGCCGATGCGGTGCTATTGGCCGCAGTCGTGGCGCTTGCGGTGCCGGTGGTGGTCTGGTCGCCGTGGCGGTGGCGCTGCTGGTCAAAATCGTTGTGCCGCTGGTCGCCGTCGTCGTTGCGGTGGTGCTGGTGCTGGTGCTGGTCGCAGCCGTGGTGCTGCTGGTCGTCGTCGTGGTGGCGGCGCTGCCGCTGCTGCTGGTCGTCGTTGTGCTGGTGGCGCTTCTTGTGGTGGTCGTGGTGCTGCTGGTCGTAGTCGTCGTGGTGGTGGTGCTGGTCGCGGTCGTGGTGGTGACTGGGGGTGCTGGGCGTCGTCGTGGTGCTGCTAGTTGCCGTGGTGGTTCTTGTCGTCGTCGTGGTGGCGCTGCTGGTCGTAGTCTTGGCGTGGCTGCTCTCGGTGCAGCCGTTGGGAGTCGTCGCGCCTCTTGTGATCGAGGTTGTTGCTGCGTTGCTTCTGTGGGCTTGTTGTGGGGGAGGTCTCCACAGCAGGCACCGAGTGGCCAACGAGAGCAGTTTGCGCAGAGGCAGCCGGTGCAGTTCGAGCACTCATGGCCGCCGCTCGCGCCAGGATTACAAGTTGCCTTTCGTCCTGCTAGTGATGGCGTTCGCCGTGATCCAGCTAACAAGGGGCAACGCTGGAAATGTTCATTCTGTGGATGCGGTAAAAACGGATCCAGATTCTTATTTCTGCAAGCACTGCGGCTCGCTCAAGTCGGCCTCGAAGGTTGATTCAAGCTCTCCGTGGTCTGCAGGCCCCCCTTCGTCTCGAACTCCAGCTGGTGGTCTCGGCTCGCCCGGGGCATCGCCTGGGGGCACAGGAGGGGGGAAAGGTGGCGCTGGTGGGTCGGGCGACTCATCCAAGCCGCCGCTCTCTGCCGAGGAGTACGAGCAGCTTGCCATGTTGTGCGAAAAACCCGGTGACAAGGAGGGCGCCCTGGCCCACCGTGTTGCAGCCAAGGCTCTCTCTGAGCCGAAGTCTGTCGCCGAGTCGACGCAGGTACAGCTCAACAAAGCCCACCAGCGCGCCAAAGGCATCGAGCGCAAGCTGGTGCAGGCGGTGGGCAAGTACAATACTGTGGAGCAGCAGCTGGCAGCCCAGCGCGACGTGGTGGTACAGCTTCGTGCGGAGCTCGCCGAGGCGGGGGAGCAGCGCAAGCAGTTGGTCCAGAAGCTCCACTCCTCCTTGCCGCATGAGGCCTCCGTGCCGCGCATGCCAGCAGACATCCTCTTTGACGACTCGAAACTTTCCTTGTTCTTCGACGTTGAGTTCGGTAACCTATTCAAGCTGGGTGGTCACGACTTGTCCGCGGAGGATCAGACTGAACTCGACTCGAGGGTGCAGCAGCTCAAGACTGGGGTCAGCTCACTGGCCTAGGACCTGTTCTCGCAGGCGAAGGCCAAGGTGGACGCGAGCAAGAAGGAGCATGCTGCACACGCGGGGCGTATCCAGAAGAAACGTCGCAGTGCTGACGATGAACAGGCTGGCGGCGCCGAGGCTGATCCCCTTGCCGCTGATGGAGGTGATGCAGCGGCGCCTGGGGCTGGGGCGGCAGCCGCCGCAGCCGCTCCTGATTCCAGTGAGGCAAATGACGCCGCCGCAGCCCGTGCACGGTCTGACGAGATTGCCAGTGGCAAGCCTGGGTGTTAGGGCCCCTCTGCGCGCTCGTCTGTTTTGGCCTGCTTTTCGTGGCTTTTTGTCGTCCTTCCTAGGGTCCTCTGGTCCTGGGTCGGGCTCTTCTGGCCGCTTCGGTCTGTCGACGAAATCAGCGCAGGGGGGTCGATGTTGTCTTTCCAATCTTCAACCAAATGAGCCTGCTCAGCTGCGGCGGCTAGGCAGGCCCTTTGGTTAAAGCGAGGCATGCCACTCCTTTTCGCGCAGATGCCACGCCCTCTGCAGCAGTGTATTTTGTCGAGCAGATGGTCCTCGCTCTTCGCTCGTGCTGGTGCTG